ATACACAAAGCATGAAAAAATACCTCCCCCCACCCCACTCTCCTGCTGGTAATAGCTTATCTAAAGTGACCACTCTCCTTACAATGTGTATGATAATCAAGGTGGGCCATTTCCAGCACAAATCCAGTGTTTAATAAGAACGTCTGGGGGGGGGGGGTAGGAAAAAATAAGGGGAAATAGGTTACCTTGCATAATGACTAAGCCACTCCCAGTCTCTATTCAAGCCTAAGTTAATTGTATCCAATTTGCAAATGAATTCCAATTCAGCAGTCTCTCGTTGGAGTCTGGATATTAAGTTTTTTTGTTGTAATATCGCAACTTTCATGTCTGTAATCGTGTGACCAGAGAGATTGAAGTGTTCTCCGATTGGTTTATGAATGTTATAATTCTTGACATCTGATTTGTGTCGATTTATTCTTTTACGTAGAGACTGTCCAGTTCGACCAATGTACATGGCAGAGGGGCATTGCTGGCACATGATGGCATATATCACATTGGTGGATGTGCAGGTGAACGATCCTCTGATAGTGTGGCTTATGTTATTAGGCCCTGTGATGGTGTCCCCTGAATAGATATGTGGGCACAGTTGGCAATGGGCTTTGTTGCAAGGATAGGTTCCTGGGTTAGTGGTTCTGTTGTGTGGTATGTGGTTGCTGGTGAGTATTTGCTTCAGGTTGGGGGGCTGTCTGTAGGCAAGGACTGGCCTGTCTCCCAAGATTTGTGAGAGTGTTGGGTCATCCTTCAGGATAGGTTGTAGATCCTTAATAATGCGTTGGAGGGGTTTTAGTTGGGGGCTGAAGGTGACGGCTAGTGGCGTTCTATTATTTTCTTTGTTAGACCTGTCCTGTAGTAGGTGACTTCTGGGAACTCTTGTGGCTCTATCAATCTGTTTCTTCACTTCCGCAGGTGGGTATCGTAGTTGTAAGAATGCTTGATAGAGATCTTGTAGGTGTTTGTCTCTGTCTGAGGGGTTGGAGCAAATGCGGTTGTATCGCAGAGCTTGGCTGTAGACAATGGATCGTGTGGTGTGGTCAGAGTGAAAGCTGGAGGCATGTAGGTAGGCATAGCGGTCAGTAGGTTTCCGGTATAGGGTGGTGTTTATGTGACCATCGTTTATTAGCACTGTAGTGTCCAGGAAGTGGATCTCTTGTGTGGACTGGACCAGGCTGAGGTTTATGGTGGGATGGAAATTGTTGAAATCATGGTGGAATTCCTCAAGGGCTTCTTTTCCATGGGTCCAGATGATGATGATGTCATCAACATAGCGCAAGTAAAGTAGGGGTGTTAGGGGACGAGACCAGAGGAAGCGTTGTTCTAAGTCAGCCATAAAAATGTTGGCATACTGTAGGGCCATGCGGGTACCCACAGCAGTGCCGCTGATTTGAAGGTATACATTGTCCCCAAATGTAAAATAGTTATGGGTAAGGACAAAGTCACAAAGTTCAGCCACCAGGTTAGCCGTGACATTATCGGGGATAGTGTTCTTGACGGCTTGTAGTCCATCTTTGTGTGGAATGTCAGTGTAGAGGGCTTCTACATCCATAGTGGCCAGGATGGTGTTATCAGGAAAATCACCAATGGATTGTAGTTTCCTCAGGAAGTCAGTGGTGTGACTTGATTATCATACACATTGTAGGGAGAGTGATCACTTTAGATAAGCTATTAGCAGCAGAAGAGTGGGGTGGGAGGAGGTATTTTTTCATGCTTTGTGTGTATAAAAAGATCTTCTACACTTTCGACAGTACGCATCTGATGAAGTGAGCTGTAGCTCACGAAAACTTATGCTCATATAAATTTGTTAGTCTCTAAGATGCCACGAGTACTCCTTTTCTTTTTGCGAATACAGACTAACACGGCTGTTACTCTGAAACACAATACAGGAGTTAACCTAAATGATCACATTAAAATGCTTATAAAGGACAAGAGGTTAGATGGATGGTCAAGGCATCACAAAGAACAATAGACCAAGCTACTCAACACCAGGTGCTAAAATATTTTCTCTTCCAGCCCTTCCCAGAGTAAATAAAGAGAAAATATCTCTACCCCATCCACACAGTATTGATGTCCAATGATACTGGCATATCACTGTACACTGTTTAAAGAATTAATTAACAGGAAAGCCTGACAGCATTAATCAAATTACTAAAGTCACCGCCCATTAAATTTATGATAATATAAGCATCAACATTTAGCAGAGACCATACAATATTTATCAGAACTATGGTAATCTATCCAGTATGTAGCTCAATGACTGGAGAAATATTAAATAGCTAGCATGGAAAACAATATATCATCTGTGTAATACAGCTATATTATGTAATACAGAAAGACATGAAATTGCTGGGCTGTGCTGAAAAACTGAACAAAAATCCTTTAATTCTATATTAATCATTTGTAAGAACATATGGAAAAATGAAAACACATCCCGTTTGGTATTTTAAATAAAAACAATCAAAGGTAATCCTTTAAAATTAGGGTTCAGATTAGTCTCCGCAAAGGATGCAGTTCAATTGAAACATCTGGTAGTGTTATGTTGCGAGACAGATCTTTTTTAACTTTGGAAATGAGATTAGTAGATCCGTTATGTGTAAGTGTCCAAGTAATTTCTAATTATTTTATCTGGGTCACAGATAATCTGCTTTTACTAGCCTCCCACCATGACATCAGAGGATCCTGCTGAAGCGATTATCCTGTTACCTTCCACCAACCATGGGAAGATGGGATTTTCCTTGTGTGTGTGTGTGTGTGTTTTTTTTATATATATAAATAAAATATATAAAAATGAATGAAAGAGAAGTGGCCGAATGCTTCAGGCAGATGGCTGCCAACTGTCAGAGTTGTGCTCTGGCAATCTTGGACTAATGCTGTTCTAACTTTCATTAGGAGCTGAAAAAACAGCTCCTGCCTAACTCCAGGATTTTGAGAAAGGATAACAGGGAGGAGGCAGCAAGCCATCTCTTTCCCCATCCATCTCCCTCCTTCAGGTGTTCAATAATGACACTCACGTGCACCTGAAGATCAAATACAATATTTTGTAATGGCTTGTAACTTTCTCTTATGACTAGAGCTGGTCATTTTTTAAAATTTTTGTATAAATCCATCTAATTTTGTAAAACCAATTTTCTTAATTGTGAAATGTTTACTGCTTTTTCAACAAGTCCTAGTTAAGATAATATTTAGCTCAATCCACAATGAAGAGCAGTATAAAGAGGTGCCACCTCATTCATCTGCCCATTGTATTCATTCAGAGTTTCTCTTCTCAGTGTATTGACAAAAATACATGTTCAGTTGTTTTTACTCCTGTTAGCCTTGTAGAACTGGCATAGCTAAGAGAGCTATGAATTATATTCCATTTGTGCCTCATTAACAAGACTGCTTATTAAGTTCCAATCACTTACACCTTGCAAACGTATTAAAGAGAATGCAGTTGCACCGAATCACTGTGGGTGTAATCTATAAAGACAATGAAGTTGCAGGGGTTTAGTTTGAGGGCCTGATTCTTTATTTCTGGTGATAAACAAGAAGGTAAGAATCCTGCTACATTACAGATCCCATGATGAGTCTGCAGGGTTGGCAGTAAAAATTAATTGAATCTTATTTAGATGAAGTTAAAATTAATCATTTCAGCATACTTGCATTATCCCTTCTCAACAACGAACACGAACTATCGGCTTTGTTTTCTATAAAGTTATAGGACGATGATTGAGCTTTTTTTTAGCAGATTGTATTATGCAGTGGTGCTAGTTTGTTTGGATTATGGAGCAGGTTAGAATTATTTAAGTTTGTAACTCAGTTTTCTTTGTAAACCTGATTTCAGCATCCCTTCTAAAAAAAGGGAAAGAAGAGTGAAACTTTAGTTTGTTGAACTCATCTAGTCACAATTTGCACAGAGGATCCAGCACAAGCATTGGAAAAAGGGCAGGAATTCTGCCTGTTCTGCTTCATCACTCTCCAAAGGCCTCTGCTCTAGCCAATCCCACTTACACCCACTCCTGTGCATCTCTGTAAATCACAAGAGAGCTTTCCAGGGGGCAGATGCTAATGTAGCATAAATACCTTAAACTGTGACTTCCCGTAATTTCAGATGTTTGGGTTTCTTTTAAATTTAGCCTCAGCTCTGAATTTCCTGGCTTAATGATTGCCTCTTGCTAACTACAACTCCTATCAGGACTTTTACCCTTAATTTATTAAAACAGCTCTTTAAAAATAAATTTGTGTTTTATCGATTTCATATCAAATTTGCTCCGTTTACAAGTATTCATTATTCTACATCACTGCCCAATAGCATGCGAGGCACTCCACAGTACAGCTTAGAACACATCAACTCTTTGCTCAAAAGACCTTACAATCTGATTTCAAGCAGTGGAATGAAGGGGGCAAACTAAACAACAAAGTGGACTTGGGTATGAAAGAACAAGGTACAGCAAAAAGGAAATTTTCCAACTGTAATGAACATGAACACAAAATATCTGCTAATAATAAGAAACCACGCTTCTGCAAACTTAACAATAGAAAACTTCAAAATATATGCTTTTATTAAACATTTAATAAAAGCTTCTTCTACCCAGAATGTATAATTAACTCATAGCCTCAAAGTGTAATTGAGGCCAAAATACTGTAAAATTTTAAAAAGGGTAACACATTTGCATACCTTTTATTGCATTATAGATCCAGAGTTACACTACATAGGAAAAAATTAATGATATAAACTCTTAACAGGGCAAAAGCCATTCACTAACTGATGGAAATAAGGAAAATATTTCCCCTATGGGTTGGTTATTCCATAACTGTTCCACTACGGAAAACTCAAGGGTTTCTTACACTTTCCCCTCCTACAGAGTACTGCCAGACAAAGATGGACTACTAATACAACAGTTCCTCTGTTCATATATTTTTATTGATTTTATATATGGTCCACACTGCCTGACAGTATGCAAATATATAATTGAGTTACAATACACTGATAAACTATCTGAAAAATCGAACAACGAAATACTTACATTGAAAATACCCATGAGTTGAGTGTAAAAGAGTCCACTTATTCCACCTAACATTATTATGCCCATGAAGGTCGATATTCTTAGCAAGGCAAGTTCATGTCTAAATACAAAGAGATCCTATGAACAAAGGGAAACAGAAAAGACTGTTTAGTTTTCAAAAATTACATGAAGAAAATGATTCCTGAACAAAGCAATAACATTAGATAAGATGTGATTCATTTATGATAAAAAGAAGATAGACATTTATGACTAAAGCAATGCATTTATATGAGCTTGGTGGTATTTTTTCAATGCATAAATGCTAAAAACTCAAAACCTATAAAATATGTGTTTTCTATTTATACATTCAGACATACAAAAAGGTGTGCTAGATTTTCAAAAAACTCAATCCACTATTTAAGGTTTGGTAGTATAGTAAGCCCTGCCAGTTTATTCCTGGCTTTTCCGCAGCAAAGCATGCCACATGCTATTCTGTACACACTTGTCTTCACAAGGAAACTCTCTCTGCTATAAGGCTTCCGTATCTTGGCTCTAGCCATAGTCTATTACATTATTTTAATAACACTTCTTAAAAAAAATAACACTTAGAGCTTGACTCAAAGATGGCACTGTAATAAAATAAAAATATAGAGTTAGGGCTGTCAAGCAATTAAAAAAATAATCATGATTAATTGTGCTGTTAAACAATAATAGAATACCATTTATTTCAGGGTGGATAAAAAACTTTTTTTTTTTCAAAAAAATAAACAGATTTTTTTATTTAAATCAAATTTTTTTGATAAAATGCTTTTTGAAGAAAAAAACAATCTAAAGATAGTTTTAATTAAGATACATTATAGCTCAAAGATATCTCATCATGAAATAGGGACTATAAATTCTAATTCTATAGTATGAGACAATATATTCATGTAATGTTTAAGAAAAATTTTGTAAATGAGTTCCAATAGTTCATGGATTAGGGACTCAATTTTATGGGGTTCCAGAGGCTTCTGTACAGATTATTTAGGTTAATTTTTCTATGTACCCAATGGGACTCAGTGCTCAGTCTAGAAGATACCATCAGAGATGCTTAGTTTTGCAGTTCTCAAACTGTGGATTTGTGACTCCAGAGATAACATGCTTGTTAACAGCAAAAATGTTTTTAAATAAATAAATAAAATACAGGGGTGAGAAGTAACCAACCTCAACCCTATTGTCCCTCTGCAAATTTGTGTACACAGAGTCAATCCCTTACCTCTCTCTAAAAGTGCAAAGTTTCAAAAAGTTTAATGAATAGAAGATCGTTGGGGGCGGAATAGATCTGGACAAGGAGAAGAAGTCTGGAGATAAATGTGAGAAGGGAGGGATAGGCAGTAGAAACAAAAGTGAAACTCTTTGAGCAGCAGATTCCAGAAGACTTGAGGTCTTTCTGAGTGTAGTCTTCATTGATTTGAGATCTACCATACCATTCTCTCACTAGAAGGGAAAACCTGTAATGGCAGCAGGCCATAAAAGAGACCCAGTCTGGGAATATTTTAATGAAGTTCCTCTACCTGTTGATAAGACAGGTGTGCGTGCAAAATGCAAACAGTGCAACAAAGAAATGCAAGGCCTGGTTGCCTGAACGAAACAACATCATGAGAAGTGTTCCTTCTCAGGAGGAAGCTGCGTTGAAGATGATGAAAGGAACATGTCTGAACATGCAGGATCTTCAGGTTGTTAAACTTTTTTATTTCATACTTCTTTCTTAATGACTGCCTGTCTTCCTTCTGGACTATTCTTGAATTCTCATTGAGCAAAAAATATAGTTGTTACTCTACAGTACTATCATTTTAGATGAAGTTGTGATAAAAAATAAATAGATGAAATAGGCAGATCTTCCTTTTACAATTTCACCTTTAAAGTAGTACTGTCAGTGAATGGAATGAGTAATACTAAATGAGCAGTATGGTAATAATAATTAAATAACTGCATTGACTTATTTTGTTTAGGAGAATCTCAACATACAGGATTCTGAAGACTATCCACCTTCAAGATCACCATCATTTTCTATAGTTTCAGAGTTATCTGCCAATGATAGTGTTTCAGTCACATCATGTATGTCACATAGCTACAGTATATCGCCTGTAGCAAAAAGAAAAAAAAATCTCCATCATCCAGAAACAACCATAGATAAATTTGTGATAAGAGCAGATTACAGAAAGAGGTAATTGATGAAAAAATTGCCTGGTTTATTTATGCAACAAACTCCCCTTTCTGTACGATTGAGAACCCACACTTCATTAACATGGTTCAATTATTAAGAACAGGATACAGTCCACCCAGTAGAGCAGATGTCACAGACAAATGGATAAAGTGTTAACCTGAGTAGAGCAATGGGTGGAGCAATGTCCACAATGATCCTGTTGTATGTGCTTGTGTGACAACAGAAGAAGGGAACGTCTTCCTTACAGAAACAATTGATACATCAGAAAATGAGCACACACAGCAGCATACTTACAAAAAGTAGCAGTAAAAGCTATAACAAACTGTGAAAAAAAATTCAAATGTCTAGTATGCAGCTTGGTCACAGACAATGCTGCAAATGTATCCAAGATTAGAAGAAATAATTTAGGAGAGAGATCCAAGCTAACAACATATGGTTGCAGTGCTCATTTGATGCATCTCCTAGCCAAAGACTTCAGAGTTCCAGAAATAAAGGTTAATGTTGTTGAAATTGCAAAATGCTTCCGTAACAACCACCTTGCAGCAGCTGCTCTGAAAAAAGTGGAAGGAACCAAGTTAACTCTCCCACAAGACGTGCGATGGAACTCAGTAGTGGACTGTTTTGAGCACTATATCAAGAACTGGCCTAATCTGATGACAGTTCATGAACAAAATCATGAAAAAATAGATGTCCCTGTCCCAAAGTTCTCAACATTGGTCTTAAGAGAAATGTTGAACACATGCTGAGTACCCTGAGGCCTAGTTCTGCAGCCTTGAACAAAATGCAGGGAAACAGCGGTTTTATTGTTGACACTGTTGAAATTTGGAAGGAACTTAAAAAGAGAAATATGCAATGACAGAGTTAAATTACAAGCACTAAAAAAAACTAATGGAACAAGCACTATCTCCAGCGCATTTTCTTGCAAATATTCTCAATACTCGGTTTTGTTTAACTAACAATTTTAAAATGCTATTTTTGTACATTTTTCACTGAATTCCAATTTCCATCCAAATGTACCTTGACACAAATCAACAGTAAAACATTAATCTAGTAAATCAGAAATGTGTCATTCACTATTTTCTAACATAATAAAAATATAAATATCAGCAAGCTGAATAAATGTATAAGCTATATAATTGCTTAAATAAATCACACAGAAACAGTGTATCCTCCTGTTTAGAAAAAAGTTGCACCAAATTTAGTATAAAGTTTATCTTTAATTGCAAAATACATGTTTTAATGGTTATACCACCCTGATAATCAATCTTTCTTTAGGAAAATAACTAAAAAGTACATATACAAAAATTAATTATTTAAATCAAGGTTTCCTGATTGCTAATTTTAATCATGATTAAAATTGGTGATTTAAATCAAACTAAACATAATTTCAAGTTTATTTCCTAATGCTGACACTTAAGACAGACATGTTCTTCCAGGGTTTATAACTGAAGAATTCCAGTGCTGTTTGTGAGATTAAGAACTAGAAAGAACATTTTATTATTTGTGTTACATTAGTACCCAACAGCGGTGACAAGAGCACAAACTAAATGGTAGGACTGAGGCTGGAAGTTCCATGCCCCGCAAAAATATTTCTGATCCCACCCACACAAAATCATTTCTCATCCCAAATAAAATTAACCAACTAAACAAACGGGGAATTCCCTCCCACAAGATCGCCTCTCTGCTGTAACTCCTCCTATTGCTCCACTACTATTGAAAATAAGCAGGCAACCTCTTTTGCTCTGTTCCTTACCCTCCCATCTCTTTAGTTTAGTGACAAGCCCCTCATTTCACATACTGCTCACTGCAAAAGCCCTATGTCCCCCACTCTTCCTTTTATATACATACATACATATATATTACACACACACCCCTACCCTGTCAGAGCTTCTTATTCCCTCTTTTCTTGTTGTTCACAGGCCCCTTCCCACTGCCTCCAAGTCACAGGCTGGCCAGTTCATCACTCTCTCTGCCTCAGGGTATGTCTACACAGCAAAGAAAAACCGGCAGCTGGCTCATGCCAGGCGGCTCAGGCTTCTGGGGCTTGGGCTGTAGGACTGTTTCATTGCTGTGTAGACTTCAAGGCTCAGGTTGGAACCCAAGCTGGGACTCTCCCACCACTCCAGGGTCCCTGTGTAGACGTACCCATAGGCCTTGTGATCAGTAGGAAAAACACATGTTCTTGCGATGTGGTTAGTGAACGTGGTTAAAATCCTAATGAAGACAAGGCAGTTTGCAGTTTACATATGTTAGCGCCTCGAATGGCTAAAGTGTTAAAACTACAAAATGCCTGGTTTTTAACTCATGTTAATTACCCTGTGTTCGCTAAAATGCAGTAAGAACACACTTTCTTCTCTATTGAAGACAAGACCTATGATATGCCACTAAAAATGCTAGAATCTTCCCAGCTTTCCTCTCCTTGTTACTCTTTCTACTGAAGAGAAAGAAGAAAGGTATCTGCCACAAAGTAGATGGGATTAGCTCTACTAGCTTCTTTTTACTAGCCATCACTGTTCTCAAGAGATCCAACCAAGATCCATCATTCTAGGTACTATACAACTGAGAGAAACTGATTTAGGGCCTTAAATTTGCAAAGGGATCCACATGGGCAGACCCATATTCCTGCACAGAACCCACTTGTGTCTGCCAACATTGGAACCCTTTGCAAATCTGGCTTTAACAGTAAAAATAACAGTTTATTTTCTCTGCCCTTCCTGGAAACAGAAAAACAACAACATAAAGGGAAAAGAAAGCCTACACTTTAAAATTCAGATTAAATAACCTAAAGTATTAATAATGTAGTTAGGATTTTAGATACATAGATTCCCCCAATTTATTTTATTATTTCTTTGCAGTAAGTATGAAGTAACAATTTTTCCAAACAAAACTAGCCAAGATTACAAAATTGCCAGTTTAAAGCTATTCAAAAATT